TTTTGCTGTAATAACTATTACTTAACCTTTATAAAGCTAATATTCATATTTGATTTCAAATGTTTATCAGTCGTATTTATTTGTTGCAATAGTTTATGACTCTTTTTATTATTGTAAAGATAATTTCGCCCGAAAACACCATGTAGATTGTTTTCGATCATTTTGCCAGGTTGGCATGATGGTAGGATGCCAGGCTGTCCTAATAATTCTTTTTTTTTTATAAATATGAGCTGGAAATCCTTAGACAGCTCAACATTTCACGCTTTTCCTTCCTTTATCCCTTCGCAATATTTTCGTTTTACCATTTTAATTTTATTTTTGTAATTTCATTTAATTTTAATTCCCGATTTTTCTTGCTATTTTATTATACAATTTTTTTATAATTGCACAGTTTTAATTAATTAGAATTTTAGTGATGGCATTTAATATATTGACATTGCGAAAATGTAGAGTGCTGACGTTGAGGAAACCTAATTTATTTGATAAAATAATAAACACTTCTGGTATTAAAATTAAAGCAAAAAAAATTATCTTTTACTTTTTTTATAAATATTTCAAATGTAATTTAGGAATTTTGATTAATGTTTATGATATACAAAATTACTTTTTTGTTTTGACTAATTTGATACTTTAGTCTAAGAAAGTCATCTTTAGTAATCTTTGTTAAAGTAAATGATATTTTTCATCACTTTTTATGCTATTTAATAATTTTTATTAAAAATAAAAAGTATATAAAATTTTAATAAAATTTATAATGTTTATTGAGACCAAATTACACTTATATTTATAGAGATCAAATTAATAAAATGTAAATTTTGGTAAAATTTTAAAAAGATTAACATTTTACGTGACTTATGATTGATATCGATTTGATCTTCATATTTATAAATGTAATTAATTAAAATCTATTAAAAAAAATAAATTTTTTAATATATCAAATTAATAAAATAAATAGGTTACAGCCAAAAAAATTCAATGTTTTATCATAACTAAAATCTTGTATTAATACACAAAGATGTTACATTAAATATAAAATATAAATTTTATTACTAATTAGATATTTATAAAAACTTTAACATATATGTATTTTATTATGACATATATCTTTACTTATTTTTATAAAAATTAATTAAATTAATAAAATAAATAGTTTAATTTGAAAGAACTTTTTTTATTGATTTTCTAATTTTAATTCAATGTGAAATTTAATACTCTACTGTATATATTCACTAATCAGCAGAATCAGAAGGCTATCCTATTATAATATGTATCTATACTATGTATGATAATTTAAATAATTTAAAAATAAAGATTTTTTACTCAATCATAGGTTAAAAATCATATAATTCAAAATATTTACTTATCACTTTTAACTTAAAGTTTTTAATTAATACATTGTTAAAAGTTATAAAAAGAAAAAGAATGCTTAGTAGTAATTTATAAAGAAGCAAAATAACTTTTTATATTAAATAATAATAAATAAAAGATAGAAACATAAGACTAAAACTTACTTCTTTTAACTATAATTCAACTATTTTGATATATTTTGATATAAAAACTATAAAGTAAGATAAACAAAAAAAAAACTGAAAAAATAAAAAGAATAGATTATAAAGAAATAAGAAGAAAAAAGTCAAAGATAAGATTAATAAAAGATAGAGCTCTACATAAACTGTGCTGCTTATAAGCCAAATAAGCTAACTCATTTAGGCTCAGCTCAAGCCACTATAGAACAAACTGCGAGCCAGATAGGCTAGCTTATACTGTGGCTTAGCTTATACTACAGCTTGGCTCATTGGCTTGTATTTTCTTCTTTAAAGAAAATAATTCTAAAAGCAGTTTTTCTTTGAAGAAAAACAGCCTTAATGACGTTTTCTTTTAAGAAAAATAGCCCTGGTAATATTTCCTTTAAAGAAAAATACATCCAGCAGCGTTTTCTTAAAGAAAATCATTCTAGAAGCGAAGTTCTTTAAGGAAATCATTTCAGAAATAAAGTCCTTTAAGAAAATTATTCTGAAAGTGAAGTTTTTTAAGGAAATCACTCTGAAAGTAAATCTTTCAAGAAACCATTTCAGAAATGAAGTTTTTTAAGGAAATCGCTTTAAAAGTGAAATCCTTAAAAAATTATTTTAGAAGCAAAATCCTTCAAGAAAATCATTCTGGAAGCGAAGTCCTTTAAGAAAATCGCTTTAGAAATAAAATCCTTCAAGAAAATCACTCTGAAAGCAAAATTCTTCAAGAAAATCATTCTAGAAGTGAAGTCCTTTAAGAAAATCGCTCCAAAAGTGAAATCCTTTAAGGAAATTATTTCAGAAGCAAAATCCTTCAAAGAAATTACTCTAAAAGTGAAAATCTTTATGGGATTCATTCTAGAAATAATTCTCTCAAAGGAAATCATTTCAAAAATGTTTTTCTTAAAAGAATCGTTCTAAAAACATTCTTCTCAAAAGGAATTATTCTGGAACTTTTCTCTTGATAAAAATCATTCTGAAAATGTTTCTTTCAATGGAAATCATTTTAGAACTTTCTCTTGATGAGAATCATTCTAAAAATATTTCTTTTGAAGGGAATCATTCTAAAACTTTCTCTTAATGAGAATCATTTTGAAAACGTTTCACTCGAAAGGAATTATTTCAGAACTTTTTTCTTGATGGGAATCATTCTGAAAATATTCTTCTTGAAGAAAATCATTTTGAAAATATTCTTCTCAAAGGGAATCATTCTAAAATATTCCTCTCGAAAGGAATAATTCTGGAAATATTTCTCTTAATAAGAAACGTTTCTATCAACAGTTTTTTATTTTTAAATATAAATACAAGCTGAACGAGTCAGCTTACAAGCCACATTAGCTAGCTTAGCTTATCAATTAATCTCCACAAGCTGAGCTGAAAAAAGTAGCTCAATTCGAGTAAGTGATAATCTATATCAAGCTAGCTTATATGAAGCTTTAGTAAAAGATTTATTAAAAGAAAAAAGAATTGACTATTTATATATTTATATTTATTTATAATATTAATAATTTATTAAAATTTTTTTTTATTTTAGATTTAATTTCTATATTTTTTTTGTTATAGGTTAATAAATTTTAATTTCTTTTTTTTTGAAATAAGATTTTTGGCTTTTTTTAAAAAAAGTTATAGGAATAAGATAATGATAGTTAAATAGATTTTAAAATTATAATTTTTTTTTTAATAACTTTTTTTAATTTTTTTCTTATTTTTATAACTAATTTATTTTTATCAAAGATAATTTTCAATAATATAATTTTCTAATTTCTCTGTATCATTATATTATAGTATAAATACAAAGAACTAATAAATAATAATAAATAGAAAAAATTATAACTTATTTAAATATCATATATAATATTATTAATATTAATTATAAAAGACAATTTGATTTTAAAAAACTATCTTTGATTTTCATATCTAAAATATTAAGAAAGTCTATCTATAATATAAATAATAATATAATTGAAAAATTCATAAGTTTTTTTCCTATTTTATTACATTTTCAAAAATCTGTGATTATGTGATAATCATTATAAAATTTAAAATTATGTGATTTTGACGATTTATATAGTTTTTTTAGTGTTTCGTAATAAAATATTGCTTCTTTTATAATTTCTTACAATTTCTTAATTCTAAAGTAAAATATATGGTTCATTCTATATATTAGCAAAAAAAAAGATACAATTATGATTCAAATATATTTGATTTTTATGCTTAAAAGAAGAATATAATTACAATTTAGTTTTATTTTAAAAATAATCAGATACCATTTCCTTTAAGTAATATTTTTGTGAAATAATAAATATTCATGAAAAAATATTGCAGTTACTTTATATTAATAAAAGGACTATCAATAAGATTTTGAATATATATGCTAAGTGGTGAAGTGTAACTAATCCTTGAAAAATATTACAAGGTAGAAGAAAAATATTTAATAGATAAGAAATGAATGTATATTGAATTAATAGAATAATAAATTTAAAATAGTAAAAATTATTTAATCTTATATAAATTTATTTTATTTATAAATTTTGCGTTCAATTGTAACTGACAAGATAGATTAGTTTTTAGATAAATTATTAGAGAAAATAGAACTAAGAACTGGAAAACATGTATCAGTTCTAATACTTTGACGTATTTTAAAATATTGTGGAATTACTCAAAAAAAAATATAAATTTATTTATAATTTTTTTTAAAAATCTTAAATTTTTTTTTAAAAATTATATTGTAAGGATGATGTTATTGCTCACCGGAGGTAAAATTCACCATTACACAAATTTCCAAAAAAGGAAATTTTATATCTTACGAAATTTCGGATTGACACTAAAAAATACGTTACACTGGATTCCTTTTTGAAAATTCATGTAACGTCACGTGACCATCTCAACCAAGTCATGTAACAATTTGTTGGCTGATATGGAGTCAATTAATATGACTAACATGACTAATATAACAGTCGCTTAATTGATCAACATATATATCCCCAAAATTTTAGATTTTCTTTTACGATCGATATGAAATATTTGGATGCGCTGACGGGAATTTATTAGCTTTGATTTTTTTTTATATTAATATTACACAATCTTTATTATTTTTTTAGTATTTATTTATCAAATCAAGAAAAATTCTTGCGAATTTTTCTTAGTAAATAATTTTATTTTTAGTGATGTAACGCATGCAGTTACGCAAACTATTAAAATTAAAATTTAATAGTTTGCGTAACTTTATTGCATTACTATTACAACTTGGACATAATTCTCGCATGACGGTCATTCTTAAAAAAAAAATCATTACATTTAATTGTCATGTGATATAAACCAACTTTTTTATTGTGAAAAGTAGTAAAATTATAATCTACTTGATCTCGACCTTCTAAAATTTATCATATTACTTATATGTTCAACGCTAACATGTTATTCTGTTCCATTCTTGGTATTTGGACATCTCTTTTGATAATGTCCAGGTACATCACATAAAAGACATTTTCGTTATGCTTTTGCTTCTCCACTATCAACTTCACCTACCTTTTTAACTTCTATAGCACCTTTAATCCTTCTTTTACAAGGAGCTCCTCTAATTTTCATAACATGAGGGTTTGTTGTTTGGGCTATCAAACGCTGTTGTAAGGGAAGTATTTCACTATCATTTTGATTATTTTCATTATTGTTACTTCTTGCGGCTATATTTTTTTCTAAACTATCTTCATTATTATTTGTTTTAGATAAAATAAAGCTTTTTAACATTTGAACTAACTCATTATCGCTCTTAGTTTCTAACACGATATTAATTGCCATTTTCGCAGTTGAGAACACTACTCTGAACCTATTTCTTTGAGGAATAACTTGTTGTATGTTTTCTTTCTGGTCAGACCCTTGTATATGTTTTAAACTTTCGAGAGTAAAATCCACTTCATATAGTGTTGTACTATTATTAGATATTGCTGTAAGGACTGGTGAATTTTCAAGAACATTATCAAACTTCATTAGAATCTCGTCTTTATACCATCTAATGGGTATAATACTAATATGAAACTTCGCTGCACTTGAATAAAGCATTATATGCCAAAAATGGTGACAAATTATCCCTTAGTGATTGTTTCTAAACAGGTGCAAATGTGGGTTCCGTCATTAAAAAGAGCTACCAGATTGCTTTTACGAAAAACGCCTCTGATTCGGTAAATTTTCCATGTTTCAATTATTTTTGTCACATCTATACCATCTAACATAGCTTTTAATGTTATTTGGGATTCGTCATCTACATCTTCTACAAAATTATTATCTATCATGTCGGCATCTTTGTCCTAAAATAAAATACTGTGGTTAGCTCTTGAATAAATGGTACACGATCAAGCTAGTTATATT